TACATGAGGACAGGGGAGGGTTTCCTCTGTGTCTTCGCCATCAACAACACCAAGTCTTTTGAGGACATTCACCAGTACAGGTGTGTGTCCGTGTGTGTGTGTGTCTGTGAGAGAGTGAGAGAGATAAAGTGAGGCAAAGAAGGCATGGTTAGTCTTAAGGGATGCAGGGGCATCACAAAACATGACACTGATATTGAACATTATGCGATCTGTTGTTGCAGATGTGAACTGACTGGCCAGATCACAGAACAGTCAGGGTGGAGCTCAAACACAAAATCATTCCTGTTAGTTCTCTTCTAATGTTCTGTGTGTGTGTGTGTGTGTTTGTGTTTGTAAATGCAGTGTGTGTTACAGGGACTCCCGTGGGGTCTGGATGGAGAGGGGTGTGTATATGTATGTGTGCCAGCTCTCTGCAGTAGTTGGGTGATGTCATGCTGTAGCGTTTAACACGGCTAAAGAAAGCTTAGCCCCCAACTGGAGGATTACAGCACGTTGCCAATGAAATCGATCCTGACTCAATTAGAGGAGCGGGGAGAGGTAGCACTTTCAAGGACAGGGAAGGAGAAAGGAAGAAGGGAGGGAGGGGGGGTTCAGCTGGAGATGACAGTGCTCTCTCTCTTTCCCACATTTTGTCTTTCTCATCACATAAGAAGCACACTTGCCAGTCTTGCATGTGGCAAGCAAAAGAAGCTGCATATTAACTTTGCCACCTCCTCTTACAGATTTGCAGGGTTTTGGAGTTTATTTCACACACATTGTTTTGGCTCGCTGCCATTGCAGCCCAGCCTTATTTTTATTTTTTTTTATTTTTATTTTTTTTTGGGCCCTGCTGGTACCACTGTGAAACCATTGTGCAAGTTGTGAAAAGCATGCATGGATCTTTGGCTGGATGCTACAATAGGTGGTGGCCATGTTTAGAACTCGTGAGTTATTTATCTGTTATATTTTTTACAGGCAGGCAAAAATACTTTTTGCAAAACTTCTGTCACTGTTAGCACAAACGGGCATGTCACCTGCCTAAAACTGGGCATTGCATTTCATTTCTTTATTTATGTTTTACTTGACTGCATTTTCAAGTGAATGCACCACTCTGCAGTAGGTTGATAAGGTCATGTCTGCTTTTGGTGTATGCTGGCATTTTTAATACTTTTACTAGGCTTGAATTATATGCCTCGTCAGCATATAACAAGTCAGTGGTATAACAGTGTAACATGGCTGTTGTGACATCAAGACGGAGACTGTCATAAACGCCATTAGCAGTGTGACTGCAGATGGGCAGGGCTGACTGTAGTGGTTGCATCCTGCTGTACTGTGGCTCGTGCAGAAGGGCTGAGCTGATAGATTGATCTGACCCACTCCTCTCACTCAGTTCCCCCTGGCTGCCTGGCGTTTGCCGCTGGCTGCTGTAGTGATGAGGTAATGCTGTTCGCCGCCTGCCTGTTGTCCATCCCTCCGCCTCCCTCCCTTCCTCTCCACCTCCCTCCTTCAGCAGTGCAGCACAGCCCAGCACCGGCGGGCCCTGGCTTCTCCTCAGGGTCCTAGAGTTCCCTGGGTGATTGGCTCTCCAGTGGTGGTGCTGCTGTTTATGAAGCAGGGAGGATCCTAGACAAGCGATATGTCAGTGTGACTAAATGCAGTGCTGGGGTGGGTTAAGGAAACCGCCAAAAGTTTTGCAAATGAAATGTCAACTGTCGCAATTTTCTCGTTTTGCAATTCACAGAGAACAGATCAAACGTGTGAAGGACTCAGACGACGTTCCCATGGTGCTTGTGGGAAACAAATGTGACCTCCCAGCACGCACGGTGGACACAAGGCAAGCCCAGGAACTCGCCCGCTCCTACGGCATCCCTTACATCGAGACCTCTGCTAAGACACGACAGGTAGGTAGTGAACAAGAAGCACGCACACACACACACATACCCTACATGCAGTAAAAAGACATGCACAAAACTTTTCTTATCCTAAAATATCCTAATCTTTGCAAAGCCACACAACTCGGAGTCCATGTAAATTTAAAATCCCCTTATGCTGCATCATGCTGTAGTCAACATGTTATGACAGTGCTCTAGTATGGGCTCTATAATTTTACATTTTGCACGTGTATTCATGCACATGAAGAACAGTGAAAGGCCCGCGGTATGATGGGATTTGTGTTGCTGGAAACATTTTATTATGCCGCAGGCAGTGACTCATAGCCAGGTTACCTTGGCTTGAGAACAGAGCTACAGTATTTGAAAGGCCTCCGTAAGGACATGTCGCTGCACAGCTCCCACTGTCTCTGACTCACTGTCACACATTATGTATCTACATACATACTCTGTACGTCTGTAATTCAAACAGAAGAGTATGCACACAAAAAAAGCTAAGCCATGACGTCATTTTAGCCATTTCAATTTCTTGATTAACAATGTCTGAAATGATCATAGTTACCATGGTGATGTTGCCAAGCCTCTCAATGGTGAGTACACCTGAGAGGTCTGCTGTCAGTTATAAGAGGTTCATGCAGTGTACTCCACTTACAATTGACCATTGTAATGTATTTTTCTGTAACCTTCTGTTTTGTTCGTGTGTTTACAGGGAGTAGAGGACGCCTTCTACACACTGGTTAGGGAGATCAGACAGCATAAGCTGCGGAAGCTGAACCCACCTGATGAGAGTGGTCAGGACTGTATGAGTTGTCGCTGTGTGGTATCGTGATGCAGGTGAGACATTTTCTCCAGAAATGTATTTTTCTTCTTTTCACCATACACCATAATAAGGAAAGTCTCCGAATTGGTCTGTTATGCTAACTTTTAATGTATATGAAAGTAAAAACAAAGGTGAAACCTTATCTCCCTTAAATGTTTCATTATATCTCAGTTTTCCTAGAAACAATCAAATGGCACTAACATCTGTCACCTTCTTTTGTCATTTCATTCCCCAGCTGACTGTTGCACGTTGAGGAGAAATGCTACAGCACATAGTGGCAGCATGGACTTAAAGATAGAAAGATAAAACAAGTCAATGATGAAATATAAACTTTTTTCAAAAAGAAGATGATTGAAGCAAAAGCTCTCAAGGAAACCACCAGAGCTGACTGAACCATAGACCTTTTATGGAAAGGAGGATTTGGACTGTTGCCTAAGTGGCTACCTGAACTAGCCTGGTCCGGCCCTTTTTTTCGGTCCACACGTCGACTTGTGAGCAACACCACTAATGACTCTTTGTCAACTCCAGTGTGGTCTCGCTGGATAGCTCCACAAGTTTCCTGCTAACTTATTGTTTTCAGTCTCAACACTGGTCTTAAAAGGGGGTGTCTCTGACCTCCTCCCACCTTGAAAAGCCCAATTCCACTCTCCCTGCCTGCCCACTGGAAGGACTGACTGACTTAAATGGAAAGGACTGGAATGAACATTTAGTTGCCCAAACACCTCTCACATAAATACCCCCCCCATCCCGCTCTACCTGCCTTTGATATCCCTCAAATGGCTGTGTAGTCCCTTCATACTGGATACAAGGGGTGGAGGCTAACATGGGAATGACTATAAATTGTTGTTGTTGTTTAACAGTTAGCCTAGCTGTAAAAAAGAAAAAAATCTCAGATTTTGTTTTTGATATGGAACTTTTTTTTTTTTTTTTTTTGCGATTGCAGAATTTGAAAGTCACTGAGCAATATGTGAGCTAGGGTGTTTATTTCAGATGGCACCTGGTTTGACATTTTCTTCATGACCTGCCTGACGTAGTCGGAATTCCTGTTGGGATAGAACTGTTGAATGGAGAATATAAAGATGGATGAATTTCCAGAATGCAGCTGCCTTCTTTCCTTACAGAAGTTTCTTTGCTAAGATTTGTCTTTGTGGAATAATAATAGTAATGGCTAGTGTACGTAGGTTCTGGTGCAATAGGATTCTTTACTGTCCACAAAGTATTGGGAACAAACCATCACTCATGGCTACTTATTTCCCTGTTTTACTTTGGTTTAGGAAGGAGAGGTACCATGCATGAAAATGTAGTTGCTAAAGCTGGAGAGGTTGCCTGTAGAATAGTTGGAAAACCCTACACTTGTGTATATACAATGACAGGTTATGGTTTAGACAAAATGACAACCAGTTGATTTTTCTTGCATTTCAATTTCAATTTTCAGTTTAGTACGCAGTGATAACTTTTTTTTTTTTAGATTGCAAGAGTCGTTCCTTTTGGATAATAAGGCTCAGGAATCAGGGTCCAGGAAGGTCTCATTGAACAGTCCTGGAAACCAGGGTTAAAGGATGTCACCAGTTAGCTTTGCAGAGTGTAATGCACAAGTCCTGCCTCAGAGTCTAATGTCAGTTTTTTCCACACACCATACTATCCTCAAACTGCTCCTCTTTCTCTGCCACCTCAGCTACCTACAAAGGAACAATAACAGGTCAGGTGCTACTCATGTCAGAACCATATTTACTGTATATGTGGGACTATTGTGTGTAATAGGTGATGGATATTGGGTTATGGGAGTGCATTGCTTGTTTCTTAATACTGACTAGCTTGTGCTCTCCACACCTGCATTAATTTGCTGCCTAAATGGAAAAAGACTGCTCTGTGTTTACTTTGCCTTATCTGTTAGCTAGTTTGTACCTCACGTATGCAGCGAGCTCTACCTAAGACAAGTATGTGTTCTGTCGGCTGCATTGTTTTGTTTCTGTTTGATTATGTGTGCAACTAAAAAATATAGAAGTGTGTTGAGTTTAGACATGCGCTGTATAGAATTTGAAAGACAAGTCCCTAAAAACACTACACTGATTTTAAAAAAGGGTTTTTTTCTGTAATGGCATGTGCGTCTGAATGTTCAACTCTGTTCAACAAGACTGAAAAAAAAAAACCAACAAAGTTTAAGACTTACTTAGACAAAGCCCAGTATAAGCCAAGTTGTCTTGCTCCCTTTATATGAAGTTGATTCCCATTACACTGGAACATGTGATGGTGATTACTAGAAATAGTTACTTTTAGTCCAGATTATACTTAAACAGTTCAAAAGATTGGTTATGTATGATAATGTGCGGAGTTCCAGACACTACAGGGAGGTTTTGTCAACAGGCTTCAGATGCAAACCTCAATGATATCTTAGACCTCTTCTGTGAAAGACGTCAAACGTTATATTGCCATTGTGTCCTTTCAAGGGAAGCGAACAATTTATTTCTGACCTAATTGATTTTGTACAGTTAAAACGACTCTTTTTCACTCATAACATGGCTCAAAGAAATATGATCAGTCTAGTTACTGTGTGGATGGTAGTGGTCAAGTATTTTATCAGTTAACTGTTCATTTCTCTGCTTGGAGGAATGATATGAATTGTGAATGTGTTTGAGTCTTTAGATATTGTTTGAAAGAAGCTTCATGTTAAACATTTACAATATTGAAATAATGCAAGAGTTGATCCTTGGTCCCACCTTAGGCTGTGTTGTTCCTAACTTTTATTTTTCACCCACTGTACTCAAACTTTTTAATGGAAAAAAGAGTGTGGTGTTTGTAACATGTAATGACAGTCCTGATAATATGCTTGTCCTCACCTTGTCAATCTTTTAAACAGTACATCCATGATAGTAATACCATAGAATTCCACAAATCTGTGTATTTAAATTCCCATTGCATTAGAATATCAGCATAATGTTGCCGCAGGGATACTCCAGCCAGCAAATCACAAGTATACATGTCAGCAAACCTGGCGAGCATGACAAAGACTGTACGGACCATTGGGAGTTTTGCACAAGGACACAGTGGGGTCAAGGGCTTGTTTCTTGCAAACTGTGGAACTGAGGTGTGGAAGGAATTTGTGAAAATGTCAACTGTTTAGCTATTTAAGATGTATTTACTCTTTGAAAATGTGGCAAATGTATTGCAGGACAGGAATAAAGATGTCAAGATGAAACTGTGTCTTTGGTCCCTCAACCAAAATCTAACTTTTACATCATGTTTGAGATTTGCTGCCATCTACAGGCTGCTTTGTGTATCATGTTTGACGAGGACAGATATTTGTCTAAAAATACAAAATAACAAACTTCTGTTTAAGTAGTATGAACACAGCTGAACTGTATAAATGTTCTTGACAAACATTTCCCCTGTTGGTAGGATCGTAATGTGCAATAATGTGTAGTTTACACAATCAGGGCAAGTACAGCTGTGATGAAAGCTCAAAGGACAGTCATAAAGGTGTTTACACAAGAGTTTTCCCATCAGCAGTGCCATTTATGAGAAGTTTTCGGTTGCACGGATAAACGATGTTTCATATTTATTAACTCCTTGAAACATTGAAACTCCCAAAGAACAAATTTTAATGTTTCTTTTTGCCTCAATATACAACCGATGCTGGATTATTTAAAACAAATGATTGTATTGCACTGAAAATGGATCAAGTGTGTTTGTTGGTCACTTCCAGCAACTGGAAAAGGAGGAAGTATGCCAGAAGAACTGTGTAGTGGATTTCAGTAAAGTAGCTTATGATGGCATAATAAATTACTAATTTGTACATATTATCTAATTATATATGAATGGATATTAAATGCAATATCAAATCTGTTCAGTGACCGTGAGCTAATTGTAAAAAGAACGGCTAATCTCTACTGATAAATATAATATTAAAATATGGTATGTATGCATCAAAACAGAGCCTTTAGAAGGTCTTAGAGTTTTATTACTGCTTTTATTCAGTGTTATATATGTTACTATGTATGGTAACTCATATGGTATCACTGAACTCAATGGTTTAACAGGCATTATAGGTCAGTAACATAATAATCATTATTGATAGCACTTTGCAAATATGATTATAAGTGCTAAATAGATGTAAAAGAGATACAGGACATGTACCAATATAGAAGCAAAATTAGTATGATTGTGATCTTGATCCTGATCCAAGAGATTAGATGGTTTCATCATACAAACAACAGCCAAAGCATGGCTTCTCTAGCAGACATAAGTTATCATTATTAATAATACTAATATTTTATTTTGTTGTTATCAACGTTATATTTATGCCTTGTTTGTTCAAGCCATATAGCCTAGTCATTGCTTCTTAGGGCAAATGATTTGCATAATTGTGTGGCTGTTCTGTCACTGGCTTTCAACGGTCATAAAAGACAGGAGGTTATCCATAAACCCCAGACAGACAGAAAGGCAAGGTTAGTTGAGTGTTGTTGATCGGAAAGATACAAGGACAAAGTACTATTTTCCTTTTGGATAAACCATAATCATGTTATACTATGAGGACACGATTAAGAAAATGCTCCCTAAGGTAAGATGATCATTATCAATAGAAATAATTTGATTTTTTGAGTGTGTTTTTTACCCTTTTCTTTTTTGCTCAAAGACATATCTTCGCAAATATGTGGCCCATGAAATATACATTGCACTGACTCACTTCAAAAACCTCGAGCCCATGATGGATAAATATGGTGAGAAGCAAAATAACAATCTGTTTCTGAACTCGTGGAAATTTTCAACAAGTACTCTAAATCAGTCATTGTTTCATTTTTTACAGTTTACAATGATGGAACCACAAAGGACTTGATGAGTCTAACCGGAACCATTCCCGTCATGTTTGGAGGTAACAGTGACTTTGCATTTTGTATTGCGTGACCTGATAAAACTGGCAAATCATAACTTGAATTTGACGCTGATTCTGGTCAGTTCAAATCCAAAATAAGAAAGATAAAGACCATAATCTCTCAGAATATGCAAAATAGCATTCCTTTCCCCCCACCCCTTTCTTACACAAGACAAGACCTACAACATCCCAGTATGCTTATGGATTGAGGAAAGCTACCCCCAAACTGCTCCCATATGCTATGTCAGACCCACACGTGAGATGGTGGTCATCAAAGGAAAGTATATCTCCAACAATGGTGAAGTCCTGCTGCCTTACCTGGAGGAGTGGAAGAATGTGAGAAGTGCAACTTTATGATGTATTTTTTGATAGGGCTGCATGTAAACAGGCAATGGTATCATCAAGGTTTAAGGTGTGCTTTAGAGTTTTGCAACCATGTTTACTTTGGTGTGACTTTTCCTTTCCCCTACCAGGGCGAATGTGACCTAGTGAGCCTTCTACAGGTAATGGTTGCTATGTTTGGAGACTTCCCCCCTGTATGCATGCAACCTGAGCTTGAACAATCCTCTTGTAAGTAACACTCACACAGGCAGAAAGCAAGCCTCCATATAATTTTAAAACAACACCAGCAGTATCTATGCCCTAGATACAAGTTCATGATGATAAGGCAGATCCAAGATTCGTATCTAGGCCACGCCTGAAGAGTGAATCTATGTTCGTTCCTCATAATTAGGGCTGGAGATACCTTTTCCCTTGTCAACCTGTTTAGTTGTTGACAAGCATGAGAAATGAGAAATATATACTTTTTTAGGTTGGCTGCAGTTCCAGAGACATGCAGAAGTACTTTGGAAGACAGATGGAAGTTTGCATCTGTATCTATCCAGAGAAGATGACCAACCTCCCCAGCAAGAAAATGAAACCAACTGTTAGCCTTTTGTGGCCCAATAATTTGTGTAAAGGTTGTTTGTGTGTTGCCTGTGATGAGGTGTTTTATCCCGTGCCAGTGTCAGATGGTATCCATTGATTATTTTATGTTTCATTAATTAATCTTTTCAGACAAATAGCATCATGCTTCAAACTATTTACACTGTAAATGTCAAGCGGCACCAGATAAAAGCATACAGATTGTGTTTGGTGTGAATGTATTGCCTTCTTTTAATTTTTTATAGAATTTGAAATGTTTTCCATACAATGAATATAACAAACTACTTTGGGATTTGAACGTCTCTGTGTGCAACAGACTCAAATTGCTTTACAAGCAGCTCATAAAACTATACCTGAGCTGCTTGTAAAGATATTTGTTGTGCCTTTATCGATAATTTTTTTAGACTTTTGACCAGTGAAGATAAAAGTTAGTAATCTGGAGAACCCATACACAGCCAGGTAGAGCCCAATAAAGCATGCTTTATTTTAGCAGCTTGCAAATTATTTCCTTTTGACAGAGAGAAATTCGAACAATTTTTCCATTAAAAACTAGTGCTTTTAACAGTTTGCAAGGTTGTTCATTAGAGTAAGGAAATATCTTTTGCTTGTTGATTTAATATCTCAATTACTGTGTTTAAAATTGTTCAACAAAAACTTTTCTCCAGAGTCAAAAGTCAAAACTATTCCCAAAGACAAGACTAACTTTGCATCATAATACAACCTCTTGTAAAAAGTGACTGATTCATATTGTAAATAAAGTGCCATTTGAAAATATGTTTGTGTTTATTATTGTGGGAACCACTTTCACTAGACAAACAGTATTTTTTATTTATTTATAATTACTTAGTAAGCCTTTGATTTTTAATATGTAAACGACAAATTTAATGGGGAGTAGACATTGAATATCCCTTTCAGCAAATGTCATGTGCTATTTATCACTCAACAGTAAGTGGTCAGTAGCAATGGCTTTTTTGTATAATAAGAAGATTTAGAAACTCTTTCTCTCTTAAAAACACATTTTGTGTGTGTGTAAGTGTTGGTCCTCAGCTACACATAGGCATCCTTGCTTAGTATGAGCCGACTGTATATTTATCCTACTTTTTATTTGATAGCCACCTTTGATGTATTATTATGTATTACCTTAGAGAATGACAAAGTATATAAAGAATCACATAAAAATATATTATTTTTGTTTCAGTTTAAAGCAGTCAGAGATCAGGATTAGTTTTTTTTTTTTTATGGACCGCCTGGGTATACTTTAGACCGCTAAGGGGACCCCGGACCACACCTTGGGAAACACCCGCCTACTGCCCACGTCACATGCGGACCGGAAGCAGTCAGGTGGAATGCCGGAAATTCCTTTTGTTGACTATCGCATATTTGTTTTTTCGGCCTCTTTTGAGAACTATTGATTAACTGCGTTTGTCTGTTTAATATCCTTACTTAATCGATCGAGTGTTTGCGCCAGCAGCAGAGCCGTTACACGGTCGGGACTGAAGATCAACACACACCGAATCAGGGTCTTAATTCTAGTCGGGGGCCCGAGGCTGGGCTAATTTTAGCCTAGCATTCAGTAAAAGACCTGCTTGCGTTCGCTTGCGTTCCTCTTGTTTACTCTTTAAAACTCCTAATTAAGACCGGTTAAAACAAACAAACACTCACAAACAAAACATGGCAGTTGTCAACGAAAGTGCCCTGAAGAAGATGCTGAAGGTGAGTCTGCTGCTCAACAGTGGCGGCAGAGAGCAGTAGCATATGAGCTGATTTAGCAGGCAGATGCACATTTCCTGGTGTGTGTTGTGATTAATGCATGGTGCGTTTTCCCTTCGAGCTTTAAGTTGGTTAAAACGTTTTGGTTTTGATATAAAGGATGTTGTGTTTGGCCAAGAACCGTCGTATTAATCTCTTGTGTGGCGTTTTACAATCGAGCATAGCCACCTAGCTCGCTAACATCACTAATATTTTAATTATTAATATGTTTTTAAAGCACAGTTCGTGTTATTGTATGTGGCTGGGTTTTTTTTCCGCAAATTTTGTTTTTACATCAATGCTTCCGCATGCTAATGATCTGTTTTACAGCCTGTAGAATAATTTGTCAGTCTCAGAGAAGAAAATCCCACTTGTTTGAGTATTTTTTCCTCTATTAAATATAAATTAATTAACGTTAAGCAGCTTTTCCCATGTTTCATGCTTCGTATAGTGTGTACCTTTCTATACCGTCTTCTTTTTTTTCCTTTTTGTTTTAAAAAACCCTGTAAAAACTGCCTTAAACCTCATGCAAATTAAATATTTAATTTAAGAGGTTTATTCACAAGTGAAACATAAGCATTTTGAGTACTTCACAGCTGATCTCAATTTAAAATGTAGGCCTTTCAGATGTTTGAAACAAACATTACAGGTGCCATAGGATTAAGATTGGAATGAACAACTAAGATTTAGTTGCAGGTGTAAGTCTGATATCTGTGAACCGAGCTGGGAGTGACAGCAGGCTTGACTTTAAGGCGAGGCAACAATTATTTTTTTTACATTTAAATCACAAATTGTGTTGGCTGCACAAAAAAATTACTACTTAAGTAAGACTGAGCTGTGTCAGTTCACTTTAAACATGTTACCTGAGTGTCAGCATTATGTTTAAAGTGTCTGTCTACTAACATACATCTCCTTTCATTGCCCAGCAATACAAATACAGAGACCTGACTGTTCGTGAGATAACGAATGTCATCTCCCAGTACAAGGACTTGAAGCCGCTTATGGACGCTTACGGTAAATTGAATGATACTCACCTCCTGTTTTCGACTGTCTGGTGGTCTCAGTTACATATTGTGTGCTAATATGATGGTATGTGTCCAACTTGTTTTGCTACTGGACGTGGGATCTTCTTGTGTTTCAGTGTTTAATGACGGCTCCACAAGAGACCTGATGAGCTTGACAGGAACTGTCCCAGTGAGCTACAGAGGTAAAGCATGCTTTTCTTGCGAACATATTATGCACATTCTTCATTATTTTTATAGATTCTGAAAGGACTGTGGCATAGAAAGTTAAGTGGGAGTTTGTGTAGCTCTATTTTTCTTGCACCTATTAAAACGAAACGTGTCACCGTAATCTCAAATAGGGTAAATCAGATCGATTTTAGAACAAGCATGTGTGACTGCAAACAAACTCCGACTTGTATTGTGTCACTCCATGTCCTCGATCTGCCAGCTTTTCTTCTGTTAGACATCATGGCTTAGATTACATTCAGGAAATGGAACATATCTTCTAACAGAACATCTCATAGTGAGCTTAAAGCCAAACCCACAGTTTTGGATTTCTAACATACATTGCAGTCTTACTCAAGACAAGTTTGCAGGAGATGATTGGACAGTAAAATGTATTAGTTTTTAATACAGTATATCATCATTTTGGTTTACTTCACGTAAAGGTCCTCTGTGCTCCTTGGAGCTGAATACAAAAGTGTGTCTCAAGATAACACAGTTTGTGCCTTTTGTGTGTTTACTGTAGGCAATGTCTACAACATCCCAGTGTGTCTGTGGTTGTTGGACACTTATCCCTACAACCCTCCCATATGTTTTGTCAAACCTACCAGTGCCATGATGATCAAAACTGGCAAACACATTGATGCCAATGGCAAGATCTACCTGCCTTATCTACATGAGTGGAAGCATGTAAGTGTGAGGTCTTCAATCAGTATTTTTAAAACACTATTTACAGTATCACAGTAAGTTAAACTATAGTTCTATGGGATATAGTGTATCCCATAGAACTACAGTTTATATGACTACCACTCTGTAAGCACAAAATGGTGCAATCATGAGGGCAATAAATCTGTCTGTGGCCCTAGATAATATTTGACCAGTGGCTTGGCTGTTGATCATTTGAATAACATTTTGCATTTGTTGGCTTAGTTAATAAAACGTGCCCTTCACTGTATGTCTTACAGCCGCAGTCAGACCTGTATGGTCTGATTCAGGTGATGATTGTGGTGTTTGGAGAGGAGCCTCCTGTGTTTTCTCGCCCCACCACACAAGCCCCCTACCAGGCCTTCCAAGCAGCTGGACCCCCTAACCGTGAGTGCCATAAATTCTTGATATAAACAGGGTAATCTAAGTGGCTCATGGAGTTGTCAGTGAGAGTATCAGAAGAACAGGATGATCCACAGAATTATTTTTTTTATATACAAAGTGATATGGTGCTAATAGACGTATTTACACACTCAACACCAATTAATACACTAAAAGGTGTTTGACCCGATTTATATAAGTGATGGTATTCTAAATATTAGAAACAATAACTATTTATAAATAATACAATTAATAAGCACCACAACCTACAGCTTCTATAATGTCCATAAAGTTGACTAAACACTAGAAAACAGTAAAAATAAAAATAATTTCAGGTTTTACTGCTGATGTATATTGGTTTACTTACTGTATTATTGCAATGTGTTTTAAGTGATGCATTTATTTCCTTAAGCACCAGATGGAGCTCAGATACCACTACAACACACCATGGAAAAATTAGAGTGAATGTGTCTTGTGAAAAACCTAAGTGATAAAAAACAGTTGGACTTGTATGTGCCCGGATCTGATTGTTTCATCTCTCTTTACCTCAGCTTCCTACATGCCTGGCATGCCTGCAGTCTCACCCTACGGCCCAAATGCCAACCCAGGGTAAGATGTTTGCCAAGCAGTTCTCAGCCCTCTGCCCCAGCTAACATATGTACACTGCATTTCCCAACAAGCCTTTCCTGGCATGCTTGGTTTCTTAAGTAGCATGTCAGTCAGAAACACAGTACTGGTTCAGTTACATTTATAGCTAAAAGTTAAAGATAGATGTCATGTAACATTTTTGAAAATGTTAAGAATTAGCTCTTTGTTGATCATTGAACTATTTGCAGAGGCTATCCAGGATACCAGTACCAAGGGGGTAACTCTTACCCAGCCACTGCTGGGCCTGCACACTACCCTCCACAGACTCCAGTTTCCACAGTGGGTATGTATCATATTATATTATATTAATTCTGGGGTGCTTTCTTTTTCTTTCTCATGGGTACATTTAGCACAGGATCCAAAGTTTTTTACACACAGTACAAGCACAGCAAGATACAGATGAATGTGTTGACTCAAAAAAAGTTTTTTTCTATGTACGTCCTTTTTGTTTAGATATTCCAATGCGCTGACTCACTTCTAAGCAAAAGCTTAATTCACCCCTGGAAAAACCCCCAATACATTTTCTTTTTATCCATGGTCTGTACTTAAACCTGAATTAAGAAACCTTGACCTTTTGACTCGAAGGCTCTCACCCTCTGTGTGACTTCGGTGGCGTGCATAGCCGCCGGGGAAAGGTCGTTAGTGTAACTAGAGTGGGGAGCATTAAAGGCCAAAGGGTGGGATGGACCTTAAGGGAAAGGAACAGTCCCCTCTCTTGCCCTCACACCCTACATCTCAGAAGCACACAGCGCTATATTTAGGAAGGGAACAGTAACTCCACACAAAGACAGACCTATGATCAGGGGACCTATCTGCTGTCCCAACATCAGTTACCACCAGTGAAATGCTGGTCAAGGACCAGCATGCAGGAGGAACTTTAGCTCTCTCCTATATTTAGTAAAGGAGAAAAATGGGTTTGCCTGTAGACTACTCAGATCTCAGGGCTGAATCAACTCTGACATTTGTAGTGCTGACTCCAAACTATATATGTGGTGGTCTTGACTCTCAAGACATCCAGCAGTGCCTTTTCACTTGCATAACCTGGTATTCGTCAGCTTTTGAGGCTTTTGTTTGTTGTGTATTACTGACCGATATGTCTGATATTTTATTGTTTTTCTCATACGTGGGAGCAAAATATTAGAAAAACCTGATGCATACAGTTGTACTAACTGTTACGTAATCTGTGAATATAATTTGGAGGAATGGTGGTCATCTCTCTTGCAGAGCTCCACAGACTTCTGAATCTATGTCAAGAAGCATTGAAGCTGTTTTGGAGGCTTAAGGTGGCCACTTTACTAAGACACTTAATGTAGGCTTTTCCTTAAAGTGTTTACCCAACATAAATTAATCTGAACTTCATGCCGGTGATGTCTCTGTGGTGCTTTGCACTGGCTCTAGATGCCCGAAACCTTAGGGTAGGATATTGTTTGAATTAAAAGGTTTGTTGCCAGCTGCTGTTTTTCTGTTTCTTGTGTTTTCTTTTTCTTGTGTCCACTGCCTCATGTCCCCTTCTTAACCTCTTCAGGCCCGAGCAGAGATGGCACCATTGGTGAGGACACCATCCGTGCATCTCTGATTTCAGCTGTGAGCGACAAGCTTCGCTGGAGGATGAAGGAAGAGATGGACAGAGCTCAGGCGGAGCTGGATGCCCTGAAGCGAACAGAGGAGGACCTGAAGAAAGGACATCAGAAACTGGAAGAGATGGTCTCAAGACTGGACCAGGAAGTGGTGAGAGATCCTCCTGTTTTTCAAAATTACATCTGCATTTATTCTCTCTTATACAGTTTTTTCCCCCATAATAACAAAAACGATATGCTTGTAATTGTTTCCACTAGACTGAGGTTGACAGGAATATTGATCTGCTGAAGAGAAAGGACGAGGAGCTGAGTGACGCCTTGGAGAAGATGGAGAACCAGTCAGAGAACAATGACATCGATGACGTCATTGTGCCCACAGCTCCGCTGTACAAACAGATCCTGAACCTATATGCTGAAGAAAATGCAATTGAGGACACTATCTTCTACCTGGGAGAGGCTCTCCGCAGGGGCGTCATAGACCTGGAGGTTTTTCTCAAGGTGACCACGTCAACACAGCTGCCACTAATGCATAACATAATGTCTGCACAGCCTGCATAGTGAAAGCAGCATTTTAGCAGAGCAGAGTCTCTAAGTCTGTGAGGGCTGCTGACACTCAGATCCCAACACACAATCACTGTAATTATGAATGAAAAGCAGAAAAAAATGGACTTGAATCTTAAAAATATGCTCTGGGTCGCATTTTTATGCCTGTATAGTGCGAGTGAAATACGAGCCACTACGCAGCCTGTGTAGAGAGTTGTATTTGATTAAAATAGAATCTGTATCTGTTCGTTCATACTCAGTCTGACTGAAAAACATGCCTAAAAGGGCTACCTGTTAGACACACCTTAAGACACAGACATACACACACTTGAGTCTTCTGTGGTTTTAGTTTTATTGACTGTTGTTCTCTTTTGTTACAGCATGTACGCCTCCTTTCCAGGAAGCAGTTCCAGCTTCGTGCCCTCATGCAGAAAGCCCGCAAGACTGCCGGCCTTAGTGACCTCTACTGACCCACACCGACTACCTTGAAACGTTCGCATCTTCACGCTCTCTTACTCTCTTCTCTTGCTCCTCTCTTTTATTCCCTTTTTAATGTCTTCTTGTAGTTCAAACAACTGCCCTCTTTTTAATCTCTATAACATCTGTTGTTGTGAGACGGAAATCTGAACAGCAGAGAATCACCAATACTACATCTATGAAGAATTGGACTGTCTTGTTTAGCACAGTGTCATTTTAAACTGTGTAGCCACAGTTCTGGTAAGACATCATTTGTATTTTGATCTGACCAAATACTTCCTTGAGATCATTATGCGTTAACAGTCATGACAGCATTACCTTTGTGCCCCAACGTGAAACAAAAACCACTGTGACTACATTGTGAACCAGTTACTGCAGTTGACACAAAAACATGCTCAACACACATGCCATATTGTAAAAGTGAGGTGCGAGTCTATTCTGTGTTTGCTCTGTGTGTGCTTGTGGTGCAGCTGGGCTTGCGCACCGTGCGTTGGTGTGTCAACCTGTATATTTTGTACTCATAGACTTTATGGTTGCGCTGCAGGGTTGCCTACAAGTTCTGTTTGCAATCCCTTTGCCAGACAAAGTCATTTGGCTAGTAAGCACAAATTGTTAGGGGGCTAGTAGAGAGGGGCTTTGTAGAGAGCCCCATGTGTCCACCCCCTTCATAATGAAAAGGCTAGGCTCTGATATAAATACCCAGGGCAACCTTTCAGGAAAGACAAGGGTTCAGCCTCAGGATTTAATGCTGTATGTGGTCTGGGTCATGTTCAGTAGCTATGGAGCCATGCAGTGGAGGTGATGATGAACATGGACTGGAGCTGTTTCTTTTCTTATTCTGTTGATGAGCTACATTTTGAGCTCCCATATCCACCTGTCCTCACTGCTATGTGCTTTTCCCTGTTCTGTGTCTCTTTACAATGGTATGAGTGAGGTTCTTTCATTGTATGTCAGCTGCTCAGGTCTGCCCTCCAGTCTGACAGCATTAACCAATCCTGTACATTGGTTGGTTTACT